ATTTCAGTAAGTGTGTTCAATACTTTTTCCCTGTGCCATTCCACATTATTACAAATAACTTCATTTCTGGACATTTTTGGGTTGTTACCAACATCTGGTGAAAATTTCATGTCATTAGCACCTCTAGTAATATATTTACTGAGAAAAATGGTGACGTGTTCAATACTTATTTTACCCGCTGAATATATTTCTGCCCCCAATGTGTGTTTGTGTGCATACCTTTATTACCCATGGGTGAAGGCAGAAAACTTTCAGTAATTCAGTCAGTTTTACTGGGTGGCAGTGGTCAGAGGAGGAGTCTTGTAAACGGAGATTTGCCGGTTCGATCCCCTGCTCCAGCTGTCTCAGTCATTGTGTCCTTGGTTAAGACACTTTACCCTTCTTGCCTTCAGATGTTGGTCAGAGGGTCCGGTGGCYCCAGTGCATGGCAGCCCTGCCTTTGTCAATGTGCCCTAGGGCAGCTAATACTTAGCTTAAAATCATCAGAGTGTGAAAAGAAGCACTTTGGAGTCCAACAGGACTTGATAATGTGCTATATAAGTTCAGTCCTTTTACGATTTTGCAGTAGCTCAAAATATGAATTGTAGCTGGGTCTTAGCTAAGTTGGCCCTCTGTTATATTGGCAGAGTATTAACTCTGAAAATAAWCCTGAAATGTTTCTGTTAACATAGTTCAGTGATGAGACTTTGAAAGGAGGAGCTGTTTGTCTCTGTAGGAACAAGGATTGTGAAACTGGTCTGACAGCAGCTGAAGATGTGTGGGACCTGTGGTTTGTCTTAGGTCACCTCTGAGGAAAGAAGGGGGTCGGAGCTTGACTACATCAAGATGTTTGGAGAAGAGTGGCTAGCGGCAGGGGGACCGGGCCAGACCAGCACCCAGTTTACCGAGCAGCACCCACAATACCAGAAACTCATCAAAAGTAAGCTCATTATTTTACACCACTTTTCAGGTCACAAGGTTCTGCTCACTGAACTAGAAAGTCACTGGAATAACCAACTACAGCACAATCAATGCTATTGTGGTGCAAATTTGTGTTGTCATATTGCTAACAGCTACATGGGAATGCTAAGTTCCTGTCAGAATGACAGCGCACAGACAATATCAGAGTTTTTACCTAAACTCTGTGTAGAAGTTTAATGCTTTGCCATTATTTGTCAAACTAAATGAAATTAGTTGGTGATACTGCTGTGAATGGTACAGCACTACTTAGTGTTTGGTTTATTATGACCCCCACTTTTCATAATACTACTTTTTAATTTAATTTAATTTTTTCAAAGATTTTTGGTCAACCGTAGCACAGAAATGGCTGCACCTAGCAGAATGAAATTTGGTAGGAATACAGATGTAGGCGACCAACACTGTGCTAGCAAACAGTTTTGCGATATACTCCATATTCCAAGATGGGTGCCATCTGAAAAGTTGGTGTCTGAAAATATGAAAATGCTTTGAGTTTAAAAATTATTCAGCTTAGGAACTTCAGAGTTCTGTTGTTTTTGTTTAGCTCTGATGAAGGACTATTTCATGACATCATTATGTGTTTCTATGCAACTGCCACCTAGCAGTAGGCAAAAGAATAAAAACACATTAATGACAATTGTTATTTCAAGCCTGTGTACACCCAGAAATATGATCAGATCTTGATGAAATTAGTCCTATCTGACGTCCTGATGCATCTCAGTAATCCAGGTAGAAAAAATCAGTAGGTCCTCTGGATGGTTCTTCTTTAGTGAAACGTTTCGTCTCTCCTCCAAGAGACTTCTTCAGTCTAAAGATCATTGTTAGCATGATCAACTCTGTCACTTACAATGTTTCTAAATATCTGATGTCTATAC